CTTCTGGTTAGCAGTCAAGTGCCTTAGCCACTATGCTACCAGAGCTCCCGGCTTATAGCTTAGCAGTAGCTAAAATAGTGTAACCTGCAAGAGATGGGGGAAGGTATCCCGGAGGACTTAGTCTTCTACATGAGACTTGGAGAACCAGTGGAAGATTTCCAGATGGAGAGCTAGATGAATGGCATTTTAAACACAGGGAACAGAATATGAAAAGGCATGGAATGTGAAAAGCATGGTGTGTCTGGTTGGCTAGAACACAAGCACATGGAGGGGTGGGGTTGAAGTTGGAAAGTGAGGCAGGGAGTGGGTCATGAGAGCCTTGTATGCAGTGCCTAGGAGTTTGGCTATGGCTTGAGGGGTTTGAGCAAGAAGGACAGGATCGGATTTTTCTGGTGCCAGTGGGGAGGAGAGATCAGGGAGGTGAACAGGGTCAGTGGGTAGGAGGCACAGCAGTGAAAGGAAGATGAAAGGCCAGATTCAGGAGATACTTCTTAAGTGGAAGTGACAGGCTGTGGTGATGGATGTGGGAGGAGAAGAGAAGAGAGGGAGAAGTGAAGGATGTCTTATCCTGGGGATGTCCCACTGACAAGACTTTTCTAAGAACGTGAGAAAAATCACTGGCATCTGTAGATCTTTCCCTTGGCCAAGTCATTACAAACTCACTCTGTAATGGAGGCCATAGTCCTTTGCCAAAATGGTGGGGTGGGATGGGATTACTCCTCAGGCCCTGAGGCAGTCTAGTCTCTTTGGGGGTGGGATCCTCACCAGGTATATCTTGTCTCTGTCTTCCCTTCCTGTAGTGCCAGCGTGAGGCTTCCCGCTAGCACAGTCAAGTTAGGAGAGAAGCTGGAGAGATACCACACGGCAATACAGGTGTGTGTGTGTGTGCGCGCGCGCCCACACGGTGTTCTCTTCCAGAGGGGCCGATGACACCTGATGAGTTTGGTGGGTGGGGTCCTGTGTGCTTCACTTGCATGGCTCAGCAGTTTGTGTTCTTTCTCCCCAGAGATCAGAATCAGTCAAGTCTCCAGGCTCCTCCCGCACAGAGTTCTTTGTGGCTCCTGTGGGTGTAGCCAGCAAGCGCCACCTCTTTGAGAAGGGGCTGGCCAGCCAGAGTCTAGGAGAACCAGCTCCCAGCCGGAAGGTGAGGGGCTCAGGCCCAGCCAGGAGTCTGCAGGCTGACCATGCCTAAGATCTCCAAATCCTATACCTTGACCCTGACAGAGCTAGGAAACTAGTATTTTCATATGTCAGTTAACATTGGCAGGCCCTGCCATTGACTTTAGTTGCCATTAATGAGCCCAAGTCACCTTAGTTGTGCCCATAGCCCCCTGGAAGGGGAGGGGACTGTTCCAGATATGTATAGCATGGGCTGGATGTATATGGGAATGAGGTAGAGTTTGTCCCTCTTCCAGGGCCTTTGAAAATCCCTTGCTGTTGTCAGCAGCCCCAAACGCTGAGATGAAAGCCTCTCTTTTTAGGAGAACTTAAGGCTTTCAGGGGTTGTGACATCAAGGCTCAACCTGTGGATCAGCAGGACCCAGGAGTCTGGAGAGCAGGACTCCCAGGTAACTTGTCCCTCTGTGTTGTCTATTACTATGGGCTCTTTAAGGGTAGAATGATCCAGTCCAGAGAACAGTTGCATCATTCCAGGAGTGGAGACAGTGGAGAGGAGGAGAGGAATGTGGATGGAACTGGGTTAGAAGGCAACAGAGAGGAGGAGTGCAGCTGGGGCCCTTTACTCGTCTAGGGAGAGGGAGAACATCCTGGGTGGGGAGGGAGCCTGGGGGATCCTGAGCCCCTTCACAGCCCTGATTTAGCCTCTGGTGTCCACCTTGCTGCTCCCATTCAGGAGATGCAGAAAGAGTCAGCAGCCACCAAGAGGACCCAGTGGGGAAAGAAATCAGATACCTCCCTGGAGGCTGAGGTGAGGGGAGCAGGAAGGCCTGGCCATGGGGGAGAGGGCTGTGGGTGGCTGGGGCAGTGGTAGGAGAACTTCACCCACTCACCCACATGCACATGTTAATTGAGATAGTTACACAGTTTAATGACCCAGAATGTCCCGTAGTCCTGTTCCTGCTCTCTTGGATTGGCTTGACCCAAGGCTGGCCCCTTCAACCAGCAGACCCTGAGTCTTTGCTCCAGTTTGGGTGTGGATCTTATGAAAAGGAATGGCTTTCTATCCAGGGACCCCCTTCTCTTGTTCTAATATGCCTTTGTCCCACAGGTATGAGGAGCACTGCCAAGATGAACCTGCAAGTCTGCATCTCAAGGCCCAGCCTCGGCCCAGCTCTGCCTCCTGCAGCAACATCCCTGCCTTTCATTGCCCGTGTTCTCTTCCTACCTACCCAGGGTCCCCAGGGCCAGGATTGTTGGGACAACTCAGCCAGCTCTGAATCCAGCTTCTGGGGTCAGAACTGCCCTGGCACCTTCTTGTCCTGCTGCAGGCACAGCCAATCCTTGGGACTGCCAGGCCAGGACTCAGTGTCAGCCCAGGGTACAGCATTGGCACATATCAGCATTGTGGACCTCAACATCCTGTTCAGAGGTGTTCCCTCCTTCCTACTCACCCTGAAGATCAGGACAGGGTCATCTTTCAAGAACTCTTTCAAGGCACCAGTAGGTGCCTGTGATATCTCTCTCTCATTGAGGCCTGGGCCTGCTTCCCCATCCTGGGCCTGCTCCCAGCCTGCCAAGGTCAGAGTGTGAAGAAGGTACACTACATCTGCCACGTGTCCCATCACCCTGCATTGTCTCCCCCTCACTTCCCTGACCTGCTGCTTTGGCCAGGAACCCAGTGCCTTTTTGTGCTCCCCTGTCTTGGCCAAGAGCCCAGAGCCTTTATGTGCTGCCCTTTGCCCTCTCTCTGAAAAACCTTTCTCAGGAAGGAGCTGATAAACTCGTTCACTCTCAGGTGTAAATGACTGATGATACCTTAGAAATAGACTCCTTTCTGGAGGGTTTGCTTTCTAATAGGGATCATTTGCAGTGTGTGAAGAGGATAGTTTTTTGTTTAGCCTGTGGGGCAGGGGGTGTGTGTGTCATTTTTCCTAGTCTCCCTCTTCTCATGTTAAGTTGGGCTTGACATCTGCTGGTCCTAGCATGGCAACTTGAGGGGTCAGAGCTTCCAGATACAGTGCCAAGTCGGCACTCATTCTTTCAAAGTCCAGTCCTTCATCCCCTCGATATCATGGCCCATGTGAGCTTGGAGAATGCTCAGACACTTGAGAATCTAGTCCATACCGAACTGAAAAGTCTGGTGTCCTGTCCAAACCTTTTAATAGTGTAGTTAAAACTTTATTTTTATTTTCTCTTTTAATCATTAGAACTCTTATTCCTTATTGACTGCTCTGGTTTTACCCAGAACCAGGTGGAGGTGGGAGTAGGTTCATAGCCCTGCCTTTCCTCCCCCAATAATGCCTGGGGGACTCCAAGGCCTGCGAGAACACAGCTCTGAGTGGCATCACCAGGCCCCAGGTCTTGAAGCTTGTGAGACAGAAGCTACCAGCCTTACCCCAGTACTGATTCAGAGTGAGGGCTCTAATTGTGGATCTGGTGGTCCAGGGGACAGAAGGCCCTAGAGCCCCCATCTTTGCAGACCTCCCTGGTCCCTAGAAGCAGCCCAGAGCCCCCAGACTTACCTGTCTTTGGACAGCCAGTCTCCTGTAGCTGGCCTGCACTGAACCAGGGGAAGAGGTCCTGGCAGCCCTGCCCTAGTGCCCCCCTCCCTCACCTACTACTAGCACTAGGGCTTTTGCCAGCACTCTACCCCTGTAGTTGAGAGTTTGAGGACAAAGCCCAAGGTGGGGCAGAGGAGTAGATGGGTACTGGCCAGAAACTCCAGAGACCTGAACTTCTGCTCTGGCCCCAACAGGAACTCAGGGTATGACCCTGAACAGGGCATTTCCCTTCTCTCACACCCGGCATTCAACCAGCTGACCTCTAAGGACCTTTGAATGCTCATGATTTGCAATTTGAAAGTTTCCCTGGCAGGGTGACTCTTCCAAAACCCAAGAAGCAAAAACTGTCCCTACGCTCGTCTTTAGGAAGGGCTTCCAGAAGCTGTTCTCAGGGACCCTGAGAGGGGCTGGCATGGTTCTAAATGTCTGGGGTGGTTCCAGTAGCTCCTGGCTCTGGGTGGTGGAGGCTTTTTGCCTGCATTCACCCTCCCTGGAGTGCCTGTCGAGGGCACAGTGCCAGTGGGTGCTCAACCCAATACCTCCTTTGTATTCATGCATCCAACATGTGAGGACCCTGTCATTTCTGCCAGGGAGGCAGTAATAAGGGAACAAATGCATGTACAAGATCATTTCAGCTCTTTACCTCTCATATTTGTCATGTATTGACCCTACAATGTGCTAGGGTTGGTGGCTATCAGAGTTCTCCAGAGACAACCAATATCATCTCTCTGGAGAGAGAGAGACAGACAGAGAGAGGGAGAGAGAGAGAGGGAGAGAAGTCTCTGGGTAGTGCAGACAGTTAACACACTTGGCTGCTAACTGGAAAGTTAGAGGTTCAAATCTACCTAGAGGTGCCTCAGAAGAAAGGTCTGGATATTTACTTCTAGAAACTGATCCACTGAAAACCTCTATGGTGCAAAGTTCTGTTCTGACACATGGAGTTGCCATGAGTTGGAATCAATGTCAACTGATGGTGGTGATTATATATGAGCTCTGGTGGTGAACTGCCTAAGGGATTTGACTGCTATCTAGAAGGCTGATGGTTCAAACCCACCAGCCACTCCTTGGTAGGAAGGTTGGACAATCTACTTCCGTAGCAATATCACCTCAGAAACCCAAGGAGGGGTTGCTATGAGTTGTGTCTGACTTGATGGCAGTGAGTGATATGTACATGTATGTATGTATGTATGTATATATATATATATCTGTGTGTGTGTGTGTATATATATATATATATATATATATATATATATATATGTTGTTTGCTGTCGAGTCAGACCTGACTCATAGCGACCCCTCCTTGGGTTTCCGAGGCAGTATCACTACGGAAGTAGATTGCCCCATCTTCCTTCCAAGGAGTGGCTGGTGGGTTTGAACCGCCAGCCTTCTGGTTAGCAGTCAAGTGCCTTAGGCACTACGCTACCAGAGCTCCTATATATATAAAAGCTCTGATGGCACAGCGCCTAAGGCATTTGACTGCTAAACCAGAAGGCTGGCGTTTCAAATCCACCAGCCAGTCCTGGAAGGAAGATTGGGCAATCTACTTCCATAGAGGTATCGTATCAGAAACCCAAGGAGGGGTCGCTGTGAGTTGGAATCGACTCCATGGCAGTGAGTTTGGTGTGTATATATATGTATATATGTGTGTATGTGTGTATGTATGTATGTGTGTATGTGTATGTATATATGTGTGTGTGTATATATATATGTATAGAGAGAGGGAGAGAAAGGGAGAGGGAGTGCTAGCGTCCTGGTGGTACAGTGCCTGAGGCATTTGTCTGCTAACTAGAAGGTTGGTCGTTCAAACCCACCAGCTGCTCTGTGGAAGGAAGATGGGGCAATCTACTTCCATAAAGATTTACTGTTTTAGAAACCCGGTGGGGGTCTCTATGAGTCAGAATCGATTTGATGGCAGTTGGTTGGTTGGTATATATAGAGAAAGATTGATTTCACATGATTGTGGGGCTAGTAAGTTTGAAATCTGTAGGGCAGGTGGCATGCTGGAAATGCCAGCAGAACTTCTATGTTACAATTTTGAGGCAAAATTCCTTCTTTGGGAAACCTCAGTTTTTACTCTAAGACCTTTAACTGATTGGATGAGGCCCACCCATAATGTTAATTTGCTTTACTGAGAGTCAATGTCAGTGTTAACCATCTACAAAATACCTTCATGACAACATCTAGACTACTTGTCTAGATGACCAAAAAAATGGGCCCTGTAGCCCAGCCAAAATGACACATAAAATTAGCCATCACAGGGACTTAGACATCCTCTGACAAAAACCTTGGGCCCTGACCTTAGTAGGTTTACAGAATTGTGGACCTGTATCGCTTGATTTTAAAGCCCTTGGAGAATAAGCTTCCATAGCCCTCGCTGTCCCCTACACAGCCCAGCTGCTGGTCCAAAGTGAACCACTTTTTTCAACTCTAAGTTCTGCCTTGTATCTCTGACTACTTGTAGTGGCTTAAGTCTGTTCCTTTTGAGGAGGGCTTGTCCCATGGCTTTGGGGTCACAGAGAAGACCCACTTTGCGGATGTTGTCACTGAGGCCACAGAGCCTCCTACCTGCCTAAGCTGCTCAATCTAGCAGAAGCAAAGCTGGCAGTGGCCTGAAAGACATCTTTACCCATAGTTCATTTCAACTGGAGCTGCAAATAAGCCCTTATCCTCTTGCCCACCAGGACTCTGGCCCAGAGACTCATGAAGTGTCTTGGACATTGCCTTCTGTCCCCCAACCCTGATACCAGCCTGCCCTTCCAGGCCTGGGTCACTGGCATCTGCTTTATCAGGAGTCTCAAGAGGGACAGCTGGTTTGTGTTACATGCCTGCTCCCTCCCCTGTTCTCCACATATTTGAGCAGCTTTAAATAGCTTATCTAAGCAGCTGGACAACCACATAGGCTTATATGGCATGGGGTACATGTTCTTTTAGCTCTGTGACTGGCACCTGCCAAAATAGCAGCCAACACCCCCCACTCCCCTCTGCCACACCCCCATGTCTCCTGCTGCACATTCCTCCCACCACAGGGTTGCTCATGAGGCCCCAGCCCACCTGCCTGCTTAAAGCCCTCTCCATCCCCTGGCCTCGGCCAGTCCTTGCCCAGGCTGAGCAGACACCCATAGGATCTCTCTGCAGCTCTTGTTCTGAGGTAAGACTTGGGCATGTATCTCTGGGGAAAGGGAGAACCGAGAGTGGAATGGAAGATGTGAGAGTCCTAGTGCCCGGGACCTTTACTCATAGTCTGTGTCCACCCTGAGTGGATGGAAAGATTGATAGTTATCCAGACTTCCTCCTAAAGGAGGCCCAGGCATTTTGGAAAGCAGGCCACTTTTAGATAAGGTGTGGCAAGAACTGGACACTAAAATGAGAGCAGTAAAGAAGAAAGAACCCTGTGTTAGAAAGGGGAGACTTGGGTTTGAGTTCTGGATCTGCCACAAGAGGTTGTCCATGAGGGCAAGTTACTTTTCCTCCCTGGACCTCAGTATCCTCATCTGTAGAATGGGTCAGATAACCTTTTCTAAAGATTATGAAGTTTTGACCAACAGGGACTTCCCCAAGTCCTTTTGCTCCAGGCGAAGGGTCACCTATACCTTTTCAGACATATCCTCCTGAGCCCAGGAGAGCAGAGTGAGGCTTGTGATCAAATCAGACCAGTCCTTGTGGTCAAATTCTCATCTCCAGGAACTTGGGGATCATTCTGGGAGCATTGAGGTGGGCAGTGATGGCTGGAGAGCATCTCCAAGCAAACACTTAAATTTCTTTTGACTTTCGTGTCCCAACACCAGAGTCTTCCCCAAAGCCAAAACATGGGCTGAGAACTCTTGGGGAGCAGATAGGGGAAAGGCCCCTACTGGAACATCTTTCATAGGATGTGAACCCAGCTCATTGACATTAAAGGGTTAACTCTGAACCCAGCTGCCCCAGGGGTCCCACCAAGTGCAACCCTTGCCCCACCCACCCCACCCTACCCCACAGGGAGACACCTTGGTCTGTGGCTGGGAGCGGCAGAGAAAGTTTCCCTTGACTTTTCCTCTCCTCCTGGGCAAGCTGATGGAGAGGTGGGGGCTTGGAGTGTAAGGAATTTCAAAGCTCATTCCCCAGCCTAGTGCAGCTGGGAGGCCACCTGACCTCCCAAATTCCTCCTCTGACCCTTGTCTCACAGGGCAAGTCCTCCTTCTCAGAAATCTAAGAGGATCACATTGCCTGCTCCCCCTCCCTCCTGCCCTGGACTCCCACTTCCCTGTCTTTCCCTGTACCCCATCCACCAGATCTCCTGGTGGGCTAACAGCTGCAGGGTTGGAGGGTTCCCAGCTGAAGACAAGGGCTGAGGGATGGAGCCTGCATTCCTCAGAAATCCAGAGACTGTTTCTGCAAGACTGGAACTTGAAGCTCACCTGTTTTATAGTTAGATGGTCCCTGGGTGGTGGAAAGGGTTTGTGATTGACAACTAACCCAAAGGTTGGCAGTTTGAAACCACCCAAGGGCAACACCAAAGAAAGGGCTGGAGATCTGCTTTCATGAAGATGATAGCCAAGAAAACCCTGTGGAGCAGTTCTAATCTAAAACACATGGGGTTACCATGGGTTGGCAATGAGTTTGGCTTTGGTTTTTATCTATCTATAGATACAAAGAGATTAAGTGACTTAACTAAGATCACATAGCAAAAGCTGGGTTTCAAACCCAGATCTCTTGGCCCTGAGGCCAGTATTCTCTCTGGCCTCTATTGTTTTGGCTTTATAAACAATATGTGCCTCAGGAAAAGGTGACCTTGAGGGAGCTTGGCTAAGAAGGAAGCAAGGGCTTGGCTATGAGGATAAGGTGCCTTGGGATATTCTTGTACCTTACCTGCCAGGTTCTTGAGGGTCTGTCATTCCAGAGGCCCCAGCCCCAGCACAGCTCCTAGCCCTTCACAGGGTCTTTGAGTGATCGGTTTGGCTGTGCCCTTTTATTTGAAAGCCCACTTCTGGTCTGCATGCTATTTTAGGAGCTGAATGATGGCCCCAGGAGCAAGGAGAGAGGTCTAAGCTGCTGTTTCCATTTCTGAGGCCCAGCCACTGCCCTATAGCTGGTGGCTCTGAGCTGGTGGGAGGCAGGGCCAGGGAGAAGCAAGGAGACAGAGACCAGGTGACCCAGGCTGGTCCTGCACAATTTTCCTAGAAGCTCCTCCCTCCTCCCTGGAGTAGCAGAATCCTCTAGGGGCTCAGATAGCAGTTTCCCCAAGTTCTAAGGCCACTAGCTCTGGGTGCCCTGGGTCCTCACCCACTCTGGGATCTGAAGGCTGTTCTCTTTGATCACCATCCTCATCCTTATTTGGGAAACCTCTGGGGTTTCAATCTCTCTCTCTTCAGCAACATGAGACCTTGATCCCCCAACTTGACACCTTACACATTTGACATCTCCTCCTTTGGGCCAAAAAGTGGTCCCACTAGCTGAGAGCTCTGCCTCACCCGCCCACCAGCAGAGAGAGCCCGGGAGGAGCTTTTCCTGAACCCAGTAGAACTGGTCAGAATTGGACAGGCTCAAAAGAGCAGGCAAGCCAAGGTCAAGGCTGCAATGATGTCTGGTCTGGGGATCTCTCACCCAAAGGGGAGCCAGGAGCTGCAACTCCCTTGAAACTACTCCACCAAAAAGGGGGTGCCCTCTGCTAGACATCACTCTACCCCACTTAGCACTGGCTCTCAATGATGGTCTACAGACAGGTGCCTGAGGGCTGTTCTCAGTCACTTTAGTGGGATGTGCCAACCAGGGAGATGGAGAGAGGACACAAGAGTGCTCTCTACTGGGCTGCTGTCCTCACCCTGAAGTTTGGGTCAGAGCTGGCAGGACCTGGTGTGATGCAGGAGGCAAGGGGCAAAGGAGAAACCTTGCTGAGGGTCATCACATCCATAGTTTTGATTCTACTCCTGCCTCAGTTTAGCCCCACTCTTTAACTCTGTTCCCATCACCTTGTCCCTTTACTCTCTGCAACATCAGGAAGGTTCAGAGCCATTATGTTGTACCACTTTAAGGGGTGCTGTGCACATTTTGACTAGTGTGGATGATGTCCTCTGGATCTGTGCATTGTTTATTAATTGAAAGCCTTCTATATGCCAAGCACTTTATACCAGTTGTAATCCTCCACCCACCATGGAAGAGATGAAATATTGACATTTCACAGATGAGGGAACTGAGGTGTAGGGAGGTTTAGTGTCTAGTGACCTTTCTAAGGTCATACACATTCAAAATGAGATTGCTCTGACACCCACGTGCTATTTCCACCTCTCCCTGTAATGCCACTTGCACAGCAATATCTGACCCTTGTCTAATGCTTTCCGGTTTTCAGAAACTTAGTTCCATCCATTTGGTCCTCATACAAGACCCTGAGTAGCCAGAATGTGTATGCTTACTTTGTATTGCAGAGCAGGAAGTGAGAGGTTCAGAGATGTTACAAAGACTTGTACACACTTGTACATACCACACTCAGCCAGCTGAAGGAAGATGCTTGGAATCTAGATCTTCTGTTCCTATTTCAGTGAGGGGAGGAGCTCAAGATGAGTTTCCTGGGGAAACTTTTTTTTTAAAAAAAATAAGAAATTTTAATAGAGATAATTGTCGGGTCACATGCAGTTGTAAGATTTAATGAAGAAAGATCCCTTATATACACTTTGCCCAGTTTTCCCCAAAGATAACATTTTGCAAAACTAGAGTACACACCCAAATTACAATAAAAAGAAGTAAATAGATAAAAATAAAGTGTAAACGAGATGTTTAGGGGTCCTGAATCTAACTCAATAATGGTGAAATCATTTGGGTAGAGATAAAAGGGATGATAACCCAACATGAAGACTGTAACCTATGTCAATGAATTGTACATGTGGAAATTGTTGCATGGGTATATGTTTTGCTGTGTATATTTTCATCAAAAGTAAAACAAGTATTTTTGTAAAGAAAGAAAAAAAGAAACTATAGTACACACCCATAATGAAAATACTAACATTGATACAATCCATGATTTTATTAAAATCTCTCCACTTATGCTTACAGTCATGTGTGTGTATTAAATTCTATATAATTATAACCTGTGTAGGTTTGTGTATCCATCACCACAGTCAAGATACTGAGTAGCTCCAAACCCACAATAACCCCTCCCGTGGTCCTTTTATTGCCCCACTCACCTCCTTTCCATCTTCCACAGACATCCCCCACCTTTAACTCCTGACAACCACTCATCTCTGCTCCATTCCAATAGCTTTGCCATTTCAAGAATGTTATATAAATGGAATCATACAGTGTGTGACCTTTTGGGATTGGCTTTCTCTGCTCAGCATAATTCCCTGAATCTTGGCAAGTCACCCACATTGTTGTGGGTATCAATAGTTTGTTCCTTTTCATTGCTGAGTAATATTCCATAGAACGGATGCACCACAGTTAAGGATGTTTAACCACTCACCCTGGGGAACTTTCTGCAGTGATGAACAGAACAAGTGGAGTGGTGTGGGAGGTCTTGTAGCACTTTGTCTCCCTGAGGGCTTTTGCAGACTGGAAAAGTTGAGAAACATTAAAAATGTTGTCCTTAACATTTTAAACATTAAACAATGCTTTAAACATTCAAAACAATGTTGTGAACCTCATTTTTCATTTGTGGGGGAAGAAATGAAACCAACATTAGCTGGTTGACATTTTGCTCTCTTCAACTCCAAGATGCCATGTGTGTCAGGGTAGAATTGTGCTCTATAGGGTTTTCAGTGGCTGATTTTTCAGAAGTAGACCACCAGGCCTTTCTTCTGAGGCACTTCAGAGTGGACTTGAACCTCCAACCTTTCTACTAGCAGCAGAGTGAGTTAACCATTTACACCACCTAGAGACTTCATCTCCTCTTTACCGAGGAGGAAACAGACTTGCTCATGGTCACACAGCTAACAAGGGCAGGCTAGATTCACACTCAGTTCTCTCAGATGTCTCTACAATTGTGAATCAGAGCTGTTCTCTTCTAGAACTGAGGATGATTGACTTCCTTTTTCACTCACATTGACATTTTTATCTTTCTGGAGGGAGAGCGAGACCATGTCTGACACAGAAGACGCAGTGCAAGAGTACGAAGAGTGAGTATGGGGAGCGCTGTCCTCCTCTCCCACCTGTCCTCACAACTGCCCCAGGACCCTGGGGAATGGCTGTGCCTGCTTTCAGGACCCTGAGGCGAAGTATACCCCTTTACTCCTTGGACCACTGGGCTTCCATCTGAGGAGGCCACAGAAAGTAAAGAAGCTGAGCATTTAGAGCCCACAGGGGTCCTACCTGGTTAGGAGAGTGGCCACTAGCAGAGGAGGCTTCTCAGCTCGGTCTCCTGAAAACTGATCCAGAAAAGTTCAGTGACTCTCCTGGAACCACAGAGTGGATTGTGCCCCAAAAAAGCCTTCTCAGAACTCAATGTTATCACTCCATCTGGACAGCCTACTCTTCCTGACAAAACCCATCCATGTTCCTGCTCTGGAAAGAAGCCATGGGGTGGGGCACAGGAGAAAACCAAATAACTGGGAAGTGGGGGTTGTCACCAGGGAGGATACAGACCTACAGCATAGCTTTGCCCTCATGGAACTTACTCTCTTCCCGGGATGTGAAGAATTGAAATGTCTGAGGGGATTAGCAAACAGGGCCTGGCATGAAGGGCAGGCTGTCTGTAGTGCAGGTGCTCCGGCAGAGGGGGGCCAGTGGGGGCTGGAATCGTCATGGAAAGCTGTGTGCAGAAGGCAGGTCTTACCTGCATAGGATTTGGAAGGAGAGAGGAAGGAAAGGGAAGGGCTTTTCTAGCAAGGGGTCCAAAAAAAACCAACCAAACCCACTGCTGTCCTCCTTGGGTTTCCAAGGCAGTATCACTACGGAAGTAGATTGCCCAATGCCACCAGAGCTCCCTAGAAGGGATATAGGCTGGGAATAGGCTCAGAGGTGAGAGGAGAGTAGTAAGTGGGCAGAAGGCTGAAGAGACCAACCTGGCTGGGACCAGCCTCTGCTGGGAGGTAGCATTGGCAAAAAGGATGGGGCAAGGTAGTGGGTGCCTTTCCAAGGTGCGCAGAGCAGCGTGAACTCCATGAGGTAATGAGGGAAACAAAAATGGGATAATCTGTGGAGAGAGGGGCATGTATGTGCATATGTGTGTATATGTGGTGTGTGAGCATGATTGTGGTGTGCATGTGTGTGCGAACGTGTGAATATGGTGTGCAAGGATGAGTGTATGTATGTGTGTATGCATGTGTGGTGTGTGTGCATGGTGTGTGTGTGTGTGATGTGAGAGTATGTGTGTATATATGTGTGTGTGCGTGTTGTGTGTACTATTGACAGTGTTTCCTTTTCCACTGCAGGGACCAGGAAGGTAAGCCCACTCTTTATACTCATTTGGATCAAGGACAGCATGGTTTGAAACTGACCTACCTCTTCTTCTCTCTCCTGCTGCCGGGGCCTCCTCTTCTGAGCAGAAGAAGCTGTGGAAGGTATTCACCTTGGGGAGGAGGAGGGCCAGAAAGGAGGAATGCTGGGAATCCAGTATTCCTGGGTTGCCTGGGAAAACAGCTTTCCTGTCCCTGCCCCTGTCACCCTCACTGGAGCCGATTCCCTAACAACTGCATCATCTTGCAAAAGGCTCATTTGGACCCTTGGGTCCTCAGATCCTTGCTGTTTCTACTCTTTGATCTGTGAACATACTTCTCTCTTCAGTTTTGTGTCCCATATGTGACTGAAAGGATACCCTAATCTTTCCTTCTTCCTGAGTGCACGAAACACTGAAGCACTGAAGAAGGCTCTCCCCAGTCCCCACCTACCCAGAGTGGGCCTCAGGTGCCTCAGGCTTCTGCAGCCCAGGCAGGCAGGACCCTGTCCCTTGGTGGCTCAGCAAATTCAAGGATATCCCTTCAGTACGTGGTATGTGACCATTAGGAGAAGACTTTCCATGAAGGCCCAGAGACAGGGGAGGTAGCTGGCCCCTCCCTTTCTCCCCACGTCTTCTCAGGATGATGGAGAACCTCTCACACATTTAGGCTGTTCCAGGGGTGTCTGGCCAAAGAGCCATTACAGGAGAACTGCACAGCAAACACTAAGAGGCCCATGTGAGTCACTTTTGACTTGAATCCCAAACACTTGAGAAGCTGTTTGAAATGATTTTTGAAAGAAAAAATGAAAAATGAAACTGGCTCCAATTTCTGCTGTTTTTCCTGCACAGATGCTTAATATGGTGGGTCTTCCTTTGCCTTGAGGGATTTGCCAGCTTGTTATAACAGGTTTTAACCCACTTTCATTGAATCGATTCCTACTCATAGCAACCCTATAGGACAGAGTAGAATGGCCCCATAGGGTTCCCAAGGCTGTAAATCTCTATGGAAGCAGAGTACCTCTTTCATCTTTCTTCCTCAGAGCAGCTGGTAGGTTCAAACCTTGACCTTTGGTTAGCAGATGAATGCTTTAACCACTGTGCCACCAGAGCTCATCTTTTTTTTTTTTTTTTTTTTTTTTTTACTTTTATTGTGGTGAAAACATACACAACAAGATATTTGCCACAGGTTTTAGGGGGTGGGATTTGAGACCTAGACCTCTGGATTTGAAACCAATCTACCTGCTACACAGAGTAGGATTTGGCTGTGAATTAACAAAATAATTCTTCACTGTGATGGTGGTCTGAGCTCCACATAGCATCTGACTTGCTTGCAATGAATGGGTTGCACCCTGCTCCCGCATGGCTAAGTATCTATCTGGCTGTAAATGACCAAGAAAGCAAGATCTAGATAAACCTACAGAATGGGTGATCTCAAAAATGCCTTCTCTCCTAGGAGAAAAATACAACAAATAGCTGTAACCTCTTACTCTGGGCAGATATCTGCATCTAGAACAACACAGCCCAGTCTGTTTCCATAGTGTTCCAATGCTGGGCCTTCCTTAGATAGCCTGTTTCCAACAGGCCAAACAAACCCCCCTGGTGCCAGGTTCTTAAGCAAGGTCATCAGAAGTGTTACTCCTGGAAACTGGAGTGGCTAACTCAGGACAGGAACATGGGTGATGTTTGATGCATGCCTATTACTGCCTACTCTGTCATAAGAGGGAAGCTGAGGCTCTCTATGTAGTCTAGAGGCCGGGAAAAAGCAAAAAAACAAAACTCACCGCCGTTGAGTTGATTCAACTCATAGGTACCCCTCCTTGGGTCTCTGAGGCAGTATCTTTACGGAAGCAGATTGCCCAGTCTTCCTTCTGAGGAGTGGCTCGTGGGTTTGAACTGCCAGTCTTCTGGTTAGCAGCCAAATGCCTTAAGCCCTATACCACCAGAGCTCCCAAGGGGAGCTGTCAGTTACCACTTACTGGATGCTTCCAGCCTTCCAGGCATGTGTTAGGTGCTCCATTCATGCTAGATCATTTAATCCTCACCACAGCGGAGAAGTGAGTATAATTATTTCTGTTTGGCTGATGAACACCTCATCAGTTACTGAGAAGAAGTAACTTGGGGGAAGTTACTGAGAGAAGTGAGTTGCCCAACTTGCTAGAAAGTATTGCATCAGGAATTCAAACTCAGGTCTACCTCCAAAGCCCACACGCTCAAAGCCACTGCACACGGTCCTGAGGCTCAGGTCCTGGCCTTTCCACTCCCAGACTAACCTGTCTTGCTTCTCCCCTTTGCTGCTGCCACTCCCTGAACCACAGAAGAGGAAGACTGGAGAGAGGATGAAGACGGTAGTATAGATTTTACTTTTGTTGTGCTTCCCACTTCCTGCTGTTCTGAGAGCCAGTGTGTTTGTTGAGAGGGAAATGTGTGGCAGGTGGGTGTGGAATGAGGCAGCCATTTCCTCTACAGGCTCAGAGGGTGTTTGGAGCTGGGCCCCTCTCTGTGAGCTGGACAGTGAACAGGCAGGGTGGCCAGAGGGCAAGGGGTCTGGGGACAAAGTCATCCGAAGAGCAGCTGTAGGAACTGGAAATAGAGCAGAGGGGGACATGATGACAGCTTTCAAGTGTGCACTGACTACTGATGAGTGAAGGGGACCGGACTTATTCCCAGTCTCCAAGGCTAGGACTAGGGCCAGGGGTGATGTTTCAGGAGACAGAGGTCTAAGAGGCAGCACCTCCAGGCAGCACCAAACACAAACACCAAACACAGCCTCAGAGGGTGGCCCAGGATACCAGTTCTGAGCTCCTCATCTTATCTCTCTTTCAGGGCCACAGACTCATCTTTCTTGGTCTTTGTTCTTTCCCTTGGGTGGAAGGAGAGGCCACCATGCCCCAGGGCCATGTAGGTGCTCTGGGGGAAACAACAGCTTCCATCATCTCTCCTTTCCGAGGTCCAAATCCTCTCTAAGGCCCGGAGTGATTGTGAGCTCCCTATCACGAGTGTGTTCAAGCAGAGGCTGCCTGACCAGTGGACAGTGGGGCGTATTATACAGAGAATGAGAATATCAGAGGGCTGGGGACAGGCTGTAACAACATCACCTGAAGGTGGACCCCACAAGGGACCATATCCTTTCTGGCTAGTCCTCTACTCTCCTGCTTCTGGAAGGTTCTTTTTGAGGTAAACCTGCTACAGAGATTTAAGAGGCAGCACCTCCAGTCCTCAGGGAAGACTCAGACATCAGAAAGAAGGACAGAAAATGGAGGCTGTTGTTTCCCCCAGAGCACCCATATGGCCCTGGGGCATTATGGTCTCTTCCTTCATCCTGAGGTTTTTTTTTTTTTACTTCTGCCAAGAGACCATCTCTTGTTAGTCAGTCAGTTAATCAGTTGTCAGTCAATCAGTCATCAGTTAATGACCATTGACTAAGCCCTTCCTACAGGCACAGCAATGTGCCTGGCATCATTGTGTCTTATTTGTCTGTCTATTTCAAGTTCCTGACTATGATGGGGTCCACACCCTGCCATGAAAATAGGAAAATATTGCCTACTCTCTGGAGAGTACAAATCTCTAAATGCTGGGCATCTCATCCACTCACAGAGTCTCGCTGGTTTGGTTTCTTTGGATATAGTTAAAGGGTCTCCAGACTTGGAGAGTCCCTGGGAGCAGGGCAGGAGCTTCCCTGACACCTCACCTCAAGTAGGGCACATTCTGTGAAATCCTAGGGTGGGAAGTTGGAGATGGAGCAGGGTCACGTCACCAGTGATGTTGTGGGAGGAGGGGTACCATGTGGGGCAGGTCGACAGCTGGAGCAATGAGTCTTGCTGGGCTCACCCTCTCTGGTGCTGCCCACAGCACCCACTGTACCCTAACTCACTGCTAACAGACTTCTGGCACTCTCAGTGTCCTCTAGGTACAGAAAAGACCTTCATACTTGGAAAGGCCCAGTTCTGGTCCCCAAACTCCCAGAGAGGAACATTTAGAACTAAAGAACTCTTCACAGGCCTGCATATCCCTTTTTGTTCAGTGTGGTCCAGGGGTCAGCAAACTTTTTCTGTAAAGGGATATATAGTAAATATTTTAGGCTTTGTGGGTCATGTGGTCTCTGTAACACAAAAGCATATGGTGTATTGTAACACAAAAACAACCACAGAGAGGTTGCAAATGAAGGGCTGTGTTCCAATAAAACTTTATTTACAAAAACAGGCTGGGGGCGGGATTTGGCTGTAATTTTCTGACATCTGGTTTAGACCAAGAATGGAGAAGCTCCCTGTCAGTCACACCAGTTGTCCCACAATTCATCTGGAACATGGATATCATTGACGCCCATTACCTCCCTAACTTGTTCTCTGCCTGATAGTGCAGGAAGTGAGGGCCCAGTTATTCACATGTCTGGTTCACTTCAGAGCAGGAGGAGGCAGTGGAAGAAGAGGCTGATGGGGATGTTGAGGCTGAGGCTGAGACTGAGGAGACCAAGGCAGAAGGTAAGGCTTTGGAGTAAGTGTGCAAGAAACTTGGTCATACTGCTCAGGGGATGGTGAGAACTCTCAAAGCCATGTCTATGGCAGTAAGAAACCCACCTGGAACATGATTTACAACCTGTGGATTAAGAACTTCCACCCCCTGGGTGTATGGTGGGCATAAAATGAAATGACCTATGTGAGAGCTTTCTGTATCCCAAATTTTATGTATCTCCAATCTGTGGCTCTGCTCCTCCTATCTCTGAGACTTGGTGTGACTGGATTCAACAATCAATGAACATTTTACTAAGTGCTTTTGTGCTGAGTAGTCTTGAGCCCAGGAGCATATGTGGGTGAATAAGGCATTCTCCTCAACCCCATAACCAGTAGAGCTCACTTTTCTTAGAACCTGTTTGTGGGGAAGGCTCTTGGCCATGGGGCTTGAGCTCAGGACAAGGACCTTGATAGGTTTCTCCTGTTTTGTTTAGAAGATGAACAAGAAGAGGAGGCTAAAGAGGCTGAAGGTAAGGGTTATTGGCCATCAAGAGTTTCAAGTGGCATGGGAACCCTTCACAGGAGCTTTTGGGGAGACTCCCCACAGGGCTCTTTCCAGGGAGGTGAGGGCTGCTGAAGAGGGGGTCCTGGGAGAGGAAAGGACAAAATTTGGTGATAGCTGAGTGCTTTGGATGTTGGGCTCCACACATCTGCCGTTCCTCATTCCAGGGATACTACCTTGATGGTGCCAAGTGGGAGGAACTGTGCCCAGCTCCCTGGTCAGGGCAGGGCAGTGGGACTCAGAGATCATGTCCACACATGAGGTTCCCAGAACTCAGTGAAATCACATGTAGGGTGCATGGTGCCTGTTAGGACAAAAATCCCAAGGCATGTGATAGATGGTCCATGTGGATTGTAACTGTCTGCTTCCTGATGTTGTAGCCTGTACCAGGATTCCAGATTGCCTTGGTCACACATCCAGAGTGAGGGCAATTATCCTGGGCTTAGAATCATGCCAATCTGCCTCCTTGACCTTTGGCCACTGGAAGTCCAGAAAGTGACCAAGGAGGCAAATACAAGAGGAGATTCTGGGGCTTGGACCCCCAGGGACTGTTCCATGTTCTGGGATGCATCGCTTTCCTGATCAGAACCAGTAAATGCTAGAGGCTCTGAGGCTCCACACTGAGTGTGTGTGCTCCCTTCCAGGGTTCAGCTGTTCCTGGAGATGTCCCACTGGGACCTTCAATGGGAGACCAAGTGGGGGGCTTGCAACCCGTGCTGCCTTAATTCTTGTTGATGTCCCTGGGCTCATAGGATCCCAGGGTGGAAGAGGCTTGCCATGCACATGGGAAATGGAGGCCCACAGGCACTCAGGGGCCTGCCTGGGACCAGAACAGGGCCTCCTGACTGTGGGAGTGTTCTATTCTCCTCTCCAGATGGCCCCATGGAGGAGTCTAAACCCAAGCCCAGGTGAGTATGACACACCTGTGTCAGGCCCTGAGTGTAGGGGCCAGTGAGGGAGGGTGGTGGGAGCCAGGCAGATGTGGGTATGGACTTGGGGTATGATAGGTACAGACCACCACCGTGCAGTTCTCCAGGCTCAATTCTGCACAAGTGTCTTTTCAGAGAGTCATAGGGAGGGGGTAGGGTACTTCGGTGTCACCTACATATAAAAACCTACCCAGAGATGGTGGTGTTAAACTTACCAGTAGATGGTGCCTCAGCATACTCCCATTTCAGTTTGACTGACTTAGACACCGAACCAAACCCAAGCCCCTTAGCCACTGTGTGGATTCCTTCTCATAGTGACCCTATAGGACAGAGTGGAACTGCCTCATAGGGTGTCCAAGGCTGTAAATCTTTGCAGAAGCAGACTGCCACATCTTTCTTATGAGGAGCAACTGGTGGATTCAAACGGTTGACCCATTGGTTAGCTGACTGCTTAACCACAGAGCCACAAGGACTCCTTATGAAAACAAACACAGTCGACTCCAAAGCCAATCCCAACTCCATTCGTTTGTCCAGTGTCTTTCCCGGCCACTTGTACACACACTGCAGTATCTCATTTCAGCCTCCCCATAACCTTGCACAGACCTGAGAGCAGATGGGGAAACTGAGGACTAGAGACCTGCCTGGGCCTGATGTCACACAGCAAGTATGAGTTGGGGCTCGGACTAAACCACAGGACTCATGGGGAGATTCTGTGGGGTCAGCCACAGGGGTTTAGAGTCAGATAAACCTGTTTTCTTGTCACAGCTTCTCTGCTTCCTCCTTATGTGGCTTTGAGCAAGTCACTGCCTCTCTGAGCCTTTCTTTTCTCAAAAGGAGATTTAATGATACCCACCTCTTGGGTGTATTGTGAGCATAAAACGAAATGACCTTTGTGAAAGGGTTTTGTGTATTCCAAGGTGCTGAGCAAGTTGTGATGACTCTTACTATTGATGTCAGTGTTGTTACTAGCGCCGTGATTGGCTGGGGCAGTGGTAGATGAGGAAGAAGGGCCCTGCCTGCCCCAGGCACTTACTCAGTACCTCAGGTCCAAGGCAGGGTTGATGCTCATTGACTCCTTATTCCTCTAACAGGCCGTTCATGCCCAACTTGGTGCCACCTAAGATCCCTGATGGAGAGAGGGTAGACTTTGATGTAAGTGGTGGCTGTGGGGAGGGCAAGCACAGACTAAGGGTGGTCACACGGGCTACTGACAGGACCTTATAGGCTTGTGGAGGCAGGTGGGATGGTGCCTGGAACAACCAGGCTGGGTGCCAGCCCCTGAGCAGTGTCCTGGGTTTAGGCCACAGTTGCCCCTTCCCTGGCCAGGCCCCAGGCCCTGTCAGAGGCCTTTTGGATTGAGCATGAGATATCTAGCCCACCCGTCACATCTCTCCCCTGGGCTCAAGTGTGGCAGCCTGTGACCCTGGTGGTCTATCCACAGGACATCCACCGGAAGCGCATGGAGAAGGACCTGAATGAGCTACAGACACTGATAGAGGCTCACTTTGAGAACAGGAAGAAGGAGGAGGAGGAGCTCGTGTCACTCAAAGACAGGATCGTAGGTGTCTCATCTCCCACTGCAATGCTCCTGTCTTCTATCCTCTTTCCTTAGGCCCACTTCCTCCAGGCAGCCTTCTTGAGTGCTCTATCCTTGCCAGATGTTTCTCTCTATCAAGACCTGCAGCACTTTGAGCCTCTCTTGCAGCCTGGCTGCTGCTCTGCCCTGTATCTTGGTTCTTCAGTCTCTACCTTTTTTCCCCACCAGACTGAACCTTCCTTAATGGTAGAAGCTGAGTCTGATTCATCTCTGGGGCCCCACACAGGGCCTAAACCAGGCCCTGGGCTACAGAATGGCCAGTTACAAAGCCCTGTTGTCCATCTTCCCACAGAACCTCTTTCCTATAAAACACAGCTTTCACACTAATAAAAGGAAGATGCGTGTGACATCCCAAATCATTCCAAGGGGGTGGTGGTGGCAGGGCGGTCCCTTTATTTCTTTTTATTCCTTTTATGTATTTATTTTCCTCCATCAAATTTGTTTTTCTACAGACATGCTGCTCTAGCTGGCAGCTGATGACTGAGCTATCTTTGAACACAGAGCAACTGCTGGCACTGGGGACGAGGTGTAGCATTTGTGGGAGACGTGATATTGGCATGACATTGTTCAAATGATTTCAAATTCCACTAAGAATAATGCACAATGTGCATGGGTCATTCTCACATGCCTCAGTGTGGGCCATCCTGACTTAACCGGGCTGCTTTTCTGCTGGCCCGCCTGAGCAGTAAGTGCTGCTGCCTGTGCCTGAGGACTGGCTGAGAGCACAAGCCCTCAGAGGATGGGCCTTGACTGTACCTCTTGGTGTTGACCACCGCCGCCCTGAGACTCCTGCATGGGAAAGTTCCCCACTGGCCCTGCACCTCTCATAATGCCTCCCCAATGTTTATGCACCTCCCTCCACAGGAGAAGCGGCGGGCAGAGAGGGCTGAGCAGCAGCGCATCCGGAATGAGCGTGAGAAGGAGCGTCAGACCCGTCTGGCTGTGAGTAATGCTACCCCAGGCCCACAAGCACCCCTGACATGCCCCCAGCTCCTGCCTAGCCCATGGAGATCTCTGCAGCTCCCCAGTCCCCCCTTTACTCATAGATATTGATTTAGTCAAGAGGCAATAAGCACCTACTAAGCACTGGGCATTGTCCTGGCTCTGACAATTTACAAGTGAATAAAACAGATAATGTCTGGATCCTTATGAACTTAATATTTTAAAGACTCTCCAGTCCTCAGTCCTTCCCCAGACCAAGCTACCCAGGAATTGAGAGCTCCCTAGATTTCTTCTTATGCTTCTGCTGAAGTTCTCCTAAGCAATAGGCTTTCTTGACAGACATCTCAGCCTGAAAGGATAGGTTAAGAACCTCATTCATTTCATTCAATAAACACATCTTGTACCCATGGAAAGCCCAGTGGGGAGAAAGCTCAGCTCACCCATAAAGATGAGGATTTGCCCCCCACTGCCCACCCCAATGTGCTTTCTTCTTCCTCTTCTCTGTGAATCAGGAAGAGAGGGCCCGGCGAGAGGAGGAGGAGAACAGGAGGAAGGCTGAGGATGAGGCCCGCAAGAAAAAGGCTTTGTCCAACATGATGCATTTTGGAGGATACATCCAGAAGGTAGGCAAGGAACAGAAGTGGTCACCAAGAGGTCCTGGTATCCATGAGGAATGAGGTACCCATTGTAGCAGACAGACTTTAGGCTGGATCCCAGGAAGAACTTCCTAGCTGCTGTGGGAGGGAGGCTGAGGCACCCGAGCTGGCTGTCAGCCTGACTGTGTTTGAGGTAAAGGCTGCAGCCAATGGCTAGAGCACCAATGTTTCACTTCACCCTGAGCTCCAGCCCAGGAGTCCCCAAGAGGCCACGTGCAGCTGGAAGAGTCCTTTGTCTAGAGTCAGAGCTCTGATTGGAGACCCAGCTCTGCCATATACAACCATGTGGCCTTATGCAACCTCTCTGAACCTCAGTTTCTTCATCTGTAAAATGGGATTAATATTGCCTGCCTCGTCTGCTTTGAGAAGATCAAATGAGTGAACACAGAAAGCACCTATGTGCTATACAATCCCCACTGGTTTTCTGAAGCAGTAAATCTTTACTGAAGTAGATTGTCCCATCTTCCTTCTGCCAAGTGGCTGGTGGGTTTGAACCGCCAAACTTTTGGTTAGCAGGCAAAACGCCTTAGGCACTGCACTGCCAGAGCTCCTTACACAGATGTGTGGTAATGTTTATTCCTGGGAACTCATTCTTCTTAATTTTTGTCACTTACTCCTATCAGATACTCTACTCTCAAGGGAGGAGGTGGTATGTAAAATTGATTGCCTTTATCAGTGGAGGGTCCAGAACATTTTCTTAGATTTCCAAAGTCCCCAGCTTGGAACCAGGCCAGCCACCCCACTTCTGCCCCTATGGTGACCCTACCAGCCAAATCTTTGGCATAGCCCTGCTATCAAGAAGTCCCTGCCCCGAACCCCAGACTCTCCTAATAAGCAAGGCTGCCTACAGTGAGCATCTAAATTATCTTCTTCTTCCCTCTTACATCTCTCTTTGCCTTTGTCTTCTGCCCTATGCCCTGCCCTCTCTCTGTGTCTCTGTTGTGGTCTCGATCTTTCTCTCTGGGTCTTTCTCTCATGGTTTCCTGGTTTAGCAGGCACAGGTGGGTACCAAAACCTCAAACTATCTTCCTTCCTGTAGTTTTGGGGAGCATCCTGGGAGGGGAATACTCTTTGCTGGAGGGGAGGAGAGTGGTGATTGGGCTGGGTGGGGAGGAAGGAGCCTGGGGAGAGATGGAAGAGGTTGAAGAAGCAAATGAGGAAGAGAACAAAGTGACCCTCCCTGCCCCTGCCTCAGTTTCTCTGGGGGAATCCAGACAGTTAATGGTGTGTGTGTATGAAGTGATTTGCAGGAACAAGGCCCGTTTCCCATTGAGTTTTGGGAGGGCTGGGGGATGAGGAGGGGGTGGTCTCTAGCCAATTCCTCCTGCTTGTGCCATCCCCTCCAGACGGAGCGGAAGAGTGGGAAGAGGCAGACAGAGCGGGAAAAGAAGAAGAAGATATTGGCAGAGAGGAGGAAGGTGCTGGCCATCGACCACTTGAATGAAGATCAGCTGAGGTGGGCCCAGGAGAGATTGTCCTCAGGCCTTGCAAGTGTATCTTGGGAGGAGTCAGGGCAGAGGGCACATTCTCTTTGCAACCACCAGGAGGTGCTACCACCTCATGCATTTCCCAAGGCACACTTGGAGTTGGGCTTGAGCCACCTCCAATCTGTGCTCCACTAATAGGGAAAGAGAACTGAGCAGGCCCCTCACTTCCTATCTGCATGTGGTAGCAGGAAGGGGACTGAGCTGGATGCTCTTTACTGTTTGTTTGGCTTCTCCCCCTTCCTCCCCATCCCTAGAACTTAGCCCTGGCAGGTCTTGTGTAGGTTCCTGAACACTGGCACCTCTAGCTGGCCCCATGCTGGGGCAGGCCTTAGAGTGAGCTGGGGTGTTCTCCCTCAGCTGGAGACAAGAAGGAGGACTGGGGTCCCTTGGGCTGGGTCAGGACCAGGATGAAGCCTTATGGGGGGGGGTCTTCTTTATCTTGCCTCCCCAACTTGGTCCGTGCAGGGAGAAGGCCAAGGAACTGTGGCAGAGCATCTATAACCTGGAGGCGGAGAAGTTTGACCTGCAGGAGAAGTTCAAGCAACAGAAATATGAAGTTAGCCATAGACTGCTCCTCCTCTACACCTTTAGCCCCCCTCCCCATGCTCTCCTGGCTCTTCCTGGTTTGACTGGGTCTCACACTACTGCTGCCAGTCCCAATTTCCCTTCAATTTACCTGCAGCCCAATAGTGTGCACTGTCCACCGTGTGTGTTATTGCTTGCTGGGGGCACTTGAGGATTTGCTGGGGCTGAGCAGAGACATGTTCCTAGGCCTTCAGTCCTGGGGTCTTACTCCCTCCCAGCTAGGCATCTCTTTAGGGGAAAGCAGTAGCTCAGATGCACTGAGCTGGATGGGAAGACCCAGATGTGCAAAGCTGGGGACCTGACAGAGAGGACCACCAGAGGCTCAGCCACTCTACCCAGTGTGCACGTAGGTGGGCTAGGCTTCTAGCCCTCAGGCATGCTGGGTCCCAGGAGCATGAATGGGGTCTCAGGTGGACAGACAGGAGGCAGGAAAGCTGACTCTGGTCCTGCATAATATGCTCAAACCTAGAAGCCAGCCCCAATAGTCTCGGCCTGGATAAGGAATAGAGTGCCTTCCCTGGAGGGTCTATTTAGCTGTTCCTGTCAAATCTCACCTCCTTGTCCAAGCAGGGTCTTCCTTGAGCCTGGCTCATGTCCCATGGCTACAGGGTGACTCTCCCCCTAATACTAAGAGAGGCAGTGTTGCCTAATGACGAGAAGCATGGACTCTGGAGCCATACTGCTTGGGTCAGAGTTCTGGCTCTGCCACTTATGAGCTGTGTGACCAAGTTACTTAGCTTGTCCATGACTCTGTTTCCTCACTTAAATCCCAAGATAACAATAGGACCTACCTCATGGGTTATTATGAGGATTAAACTAGTTGCTGTCAAGTCAACCCCAACTCATGAGGACCCCATATGTATCAAAGCAGAACTATATCCATAGGGTTTTCAATGGCTGATTTTTTGGAAGCAGATTGCCAGACCTTTCTTCTGAGGACCTGTGAGTAGACTCAAACTTCGTACCATTTGGTAGCAGCTGAGCATACCACCCAGGGCCATTGAGAGGATTATAGAGAGGATAATAACAATAAAAAATAAAACAATAATATTTATTATGTTTTTTATATTGTATTTGTATGTTCCAGGCACTGTTCAGAGTACTGTACATGTATTAACTTATTAAATCTGCACTACAATCCTATGGGTTCATATTTGTGAAGGTACTTAGAACACAGCTTGGTACCCACTAAGTGTCCCATTGGTGTGAACCATTATCTAGATCTCTCTAGGCCATATGCCTTCTGCCTGCTCTTTGGCTCTATAGTTAACTCTGCCCTTGGCTGATGGGGCACAGATTTGGCCAAGATATGGTGCTGTGCACTGCAGGTGTGGTACTGTGGGGTGCTGCTCCTTAAGGGGTCAAGCTTCAGGCATGGGATGGACAGCTGAGCTGGAGCCCCCACATAGGTGCTCAGCCTTGCAAGTCTCCAGCTCTCAGGAGGCCTGCCTCAGAGGACCTTCCTCCTGAGCTTGCTGTGGCCCTGGGACTGCACAGTGAGAGGCCAATGAAGTAGCCAGGAAGCTTCTCCTCGGTTTCTGCCTCCAGGAACCCGGGCCTCTCTTGACCCCAAATAGTTCCAACCTCTGGCATTGCCCTTCTCTTCCTCCTTCACTGCTGTGCTAGCTCCCTTCTCCCCAACCCGAGGCCAGCTGGGACCTGAGCCCAGTGAACTCTAACTTTGTTCTTTTCTTCCCACTTTTCTTGTAGATCAATGTTCTCCGAAACAGGATTAATGATAATCAGAAAGTGTAAGTATCTGAGTCTAGACTTTCCTTGCCCCTGTCCCTGTGTCTCCTGCTCCCCACCCTTCCCAGCCACCCCACCTCTCCTCTGAGGGCTATAGGCTCCCATCCCTTCCTCCTTGCTTTCACCTCACAGCCTTCCTGTTGGGCACCCTCCCTGAGCCTCCTTCTTCTCTGCCTGCTGAGCACTGCTGGGCAGTGGGGAATGGGGTGTGGGGCCTGAGGCTGCCCTATTTTGCCTTGACTACTCCTCTTGACCCCCAGAAGCCCCCATTACAGAGACCTTCTACTCTTCCATGTGTCCCCTATTTGACTGGATCCTCTTCCTCTTCCCCTGCAGTTCCAAGACCCGTGGGAAGGCCAAAGTCACTGGACGCTGGAAGTAGAGGTGGCAGCCCCCTTAGAGGCCCATCTCCTTCACCAAGGATCTACTTACTCTTCACTGTGGCCCCACCCTGCACATATAACCCAACCCCAGCTCCTGGGGACCACAGGCAGAATTCTATCTGGAAACTAGGAGCTGCCAAAACCAGAAGCTGCCACTCATGTATATGGCTCCACACCCATGCCTATAATAAAAAGTCACCACACACCAAATAGCATTTCTGTCACTTCCTATCAGAGGGAGGGACACTGAAGGGAGTCCCCAGTCTCACACAGGGAGTCAGGGGGACAGCAGAGTCCCAAGGACACAGGGCTCTGGTGTCTCCTAGATTCAGAGTTGCTTATCTACCTGATCCCTGCCTGCCTGCTTCCAGCACCTGAGAGGCCTGGCATCCAGCAGGGAGAGGGCGGATGGCAATGGAGCAAACATTATCTCACAGCAGAGGGGATAGGCACAGACAGCCAAAAGGGCTTGTGATTTGGGTCTCTGTGAGTCACCGAGAGCAGCAGAGCAATGCATTGGGGAGGCACATGGTCAAGTGGGGAGTCAGTGAGTGAGTCACTCCTAAGGGAACAATGGAGACCTCTTTGGGCTGTCATGTTTTCTTTCTTCTCCTGACTGGGTCACTAAGAATCAGGTGTCTGAGGGGCTGGAAACCCTTGAGGAATGGGGAAGGGCCAGTTTCATCAAGAAGCTTCTCAGTCCTGAGCTGCAGAGAGGCATGAGCTAATCTGAGTGTCTCCATCTGTGATCTGCACATCCTCTAGTGCTTGAGCCACCAAGGACCACAGGGTCCTTGAGTAGAAAAGGACAGCATGGTGGCATTGATTCCAGTTGGCAGGGAATGTAGAGATGATATGGAATGAGAGAGTACCTGATTGAACTCTCTAGAGTAAATCCCTGAGTAGGGCATGTTCTCCTATACATCCATGCCTTTGTTCAGGCTCTTCCCTCTGCCTAAAAGGTCTTTTCCTACTCCCCATGCCATCATTTGAAAAGAGCTTGTCTTAATCCCTATTTGCTAATGATATGATCCTATACATAGAAAACCCAAGAGACTCAACAAAAAAACTACTGGAACTTATTGAGAGAGTCAGCATAGTGGCAGGATACAAGATAAACATACAAAAATCAATTGGATTCCTCTACACTTGCAAAGAGATTGCTGAAAAGGAAATCAATACCATTTACAATAGCTACCAAAAAAATTTTAAATACTTGGGAATAAATCTCACTAGGGATGCAAAAGACCTGTACAAAGAAAACTACAAATCACTACTGCAAGAAACCATAAGAGATCTACATAAATGGAAGAATATACCATGTTCATGGATAGGAAGATTGAACATTGTGAAAATGTCAATATTACTCAAAGCAATCAATACATTCAATGCAATGTCAATCCAGATCTCATCAACATTCTTTAAGGATATGGAAAAACCAATCACTAAATTTTATACGGAAAAGAAAGAGACCTTGAATAAGCAAAGTACTATTGAAGAAGAAGAACAAATTAGGAAGTCTCACATTCCCAGATCTCAAAACCTACTATACAGCCATAGTAGTAAAAACAACCTGGTATTGGTATAATGATAGACACATAGACCAGTGGAACAGAACTGAGAACCCAGAAATAGATCCATTGACCTATGGTTAGCTGATTTTTGACAAAAGGCTGATGTTTTGATTACCTAGTGCCACTCTGAGAAGAAATATACCACAAATGGGATAGCCTTAACAAACAGGAGTTTATCCTTACAATTTGGAGGCTTTAAGTCCAAGTTCAAAGTGCCAAGCTCTAGGGGCTGGGCAAAAACCCCTCAGCCTTGGGCTTCAGCTATGCCTCCAGCTCCCAGCCCACTGAAGCTAGAGGCTTTTCTTCACTAAGACAGCTGCTGGCTGCTGAGGCTGCCAAGCCCAAGGTTGACAAGTAAAAAGGCACAGTCCCAATATTACCAAATCACATGGCAGGCTATTAATTCAAGTTCATTGTAAGTTCCAAGGTTGGCAGAGCATGGCACGCTGCTGAACAATGGCACGGCCACACGCGGGGTTTAAGGTGCCATAAGCTAGAAACCATTCCCAAATCTTCTCATTAAATACAGGAAGCAGACAACATCCCAAACGCAGCTACTCAGCTTCTTGTGGTAGATTCTTCTATGGAGCTGATTGCCAGTCTCATCATGGGAATAACTACCATCAGCTGCCCAGCCACTCAACCAGGCCCAGCCAAGTTGACACACAAACATAACCACCACAGCTGAAATCCATTAAATGGGCATGAGATGGTCTGTTTAACAAATGGTGCCAGCAAAACTGGATATCCATTTGCAGAAAAATGAAACAAGATCTGTACCTCACACCATATACAAAAACTAACTCTGGATGGATCAAAGACTTAAATGTGAAACCTGTAACTTAAACTTTCCTCAAGGAAAAAATAGGGGCAAATTTAAGGGCCCTCATTTATGGCATAAATAGACTATCAAGCATAATCCAAAATGCACAAACAACAGATGATAAACTAGATGAATGGACCTTCTAAAAAATAAATTTTTAGGTGCTTCCAAAGATTTCTCCAAAAGAGTCAAAAAAGAACCTAGATTGGGAAAAAATATTCAGCAATGACATATCTGACAAGGGACTTATCTCTAAAATTTATAGAAAACTCCAACACCTTAACAACAAAAGGACAAACAATCCAGTTCAAAAATGGGCAAAAGACATGAATGGACACTTCACCAACGAAGACATCCAGGCGGCTAACAAACACATGAAGAAATGTTCATATTAGCCATTAGAGAGATGCAAATCAAAACAACAATGAGATACCATCTTGCCCCAGCACTAATAGCAAAGCTTAACAAGACAGAAAATAACAAATGCTGGCGAGGATGTTGAGAGATTGGGACTCTCATACACTACTGGTAAGATTGTCAAATGATACAACCACTGTAGAAAGCAGTATGGCAATTCTTTAAAAAGTTGGAATTAAAACAACAATGAGATACCATCTTGCTCCAGCACTAGTAGCAAAGTTCAACAAGACAGAAACTAACAAATGCTGGCGAGGTTGTGGAGAGATTGGGACTCTCATACACTGCTGGTGGGACTGTAAAATGGTAC